ATATGTACTTACTATATAATATAAAGAGCCTTATAATTAGAATTCCTTAAAATTAAATTAAATCAAATATAAAACTAATTTGAATTTGTCAAATCAAATTAAATTCAAATTAAATTCAAATCAAATTAAATTATTAAACTGATTTGAATTTGTTAAATTCAAATTAAATATCAAATAAGTATTAAATGTCAAATCAAATTGCAAAATTCTACTATCATATATATATTTTTAACTGCTTTACAAGTTTTTTTAATATATTATAGGAGTAAATGTAATAAAAATAAAACCCATAAATAAAATAGTAGTAAAAATTATTTTTAATTTTAATAATAATTTTTCTATTTGAATTAATATATAAATATTTAGCAATATTTATAATATTAAATAAAGTTATTTTTCAGATTTTATATGATATTAAAAAGTAATAATATGTTAAAAAACTAAAAATTCAAAATATTTTATAATATATTAACCAATCTAAAAATTGATTAAATTAATAGTAAAATTATAATTATAAATATAAAAAATTTTAATATAAAAAATTATTATATTTATTATTTATACTATAGTAATTACTTTGTATTTAGAATATTTTTAATTCCCTTTTTTTTATTTATATAATTTTTATCCTGACTTTTATTGTTGTTTTTTTTAATTTTTTTTTTTTAGCTTCAGGTTTTATATTGCAATTATAGTGAACCTTTGAAATGTTCAAAATTAAGACCAAAAGAAGGGATTCTTTCTAAAAAAAGATAGTTTTAAACTGAACTTACTTTTGTAACCAAAGGTTTTCAACTGATAGTATATATATAAGGTCTTTATTTGTGTGAATGGTAAGCAGTTTAGTGTTTAATAAATTAAGATAGATGAAATTTGCTTATAATGTATTTATATAGCTTGTTTGTTATTTTATTTTAATAAAATGATATTAAATGTGTTGTAGTCAAACAAAAAAATATATATATATATTTATTATTTATACCTTTTTTATTATATATTTAAATTTGTTTATTAAATATTTAATTAATCATTACTCATAAATAGTGCTCTTCATAAGTCATACATTTCAAGTCATTCAAATCTTTTTTATTAAAAAGGTTCAAGCCTTATCAAGCCTTATTAATTAATTAATTTAAAATAATCTTAACTGATAGAATTTGGTAAAAGCTTATAAAAGCTTACCCTTTTGGATAAAACTTACTTAGTTTAAAATGACTTATGAAAAGCATTACTTATAGATCCTATGAATGCAAAATCAAAATCTATACAGACAGTCAAGTGCCATTTATATGATTAATAATTAATATAATAAATTGGACAGGAAATTATTGTAGTCTAATTCTTTAATCTTACTTAAAATAGATATTTTTTTACAAGAAAAAAAATGAATCTAATATTAATGAAAGTTAAGAAACATAATGGAGATATTATAAATAAAATAGTAAATATAACAGATTTAACTATAGAAATAGAACAGTTAGATTTTTTTTAATTTTAAACAGATTCCAATTAAATATAATTTAAGAAAATTTATCAAAACTCTAATAAATATTAAAGTAGTAGCAAAATGGTCAATACTAAAAACCAATGAATATGAAATACCAATTGCCTGAAACATAATTTGAAACTTAATTTTTAGATATAATGGGTTTAATTGTATTTCAGTTAGAAAATATTGGCATTTAATATTTATTATTAAATTATTTGCAAGGAACTTTAACTGAAAAGAAGGGTTCCTCACTTATGTTTCATATAGAATTTACTTTTGCTCATAATTCTAAAATACATCTAATAGTACATATATAAGGGGTCTATTTATTAGAAAGTAGTTTAGTACTTAATAATATTTTTTTTTTTTTTTTGTATTTGATCATTAAATGGTATATTAATATAAAAATTTTGATTAATAAAGTATTAAATATGTTGCAATAAAAAAAAAAAAATTTAAAAATTATCTACTAAATTTTTCCCTATAAAAGTAAAGTATAGGTACTATTCTATTATAATAAAAACCAAATAAGTTTTGGCATTTATAATAAATTTTATTAGATTTCACTTTTCTTCAAAATTTTACCAATTTTTTAATAAAACTATTATATATAATTTCAGCAAAGTTTTAATATTTTAGCATTTCTTCAACTTGCCAAACTCTCTAATTTCTCTAGTAATCTTACATTTAAATAAATACTTTTATAAGTCTACTACTAAAATATTAGAATTATTTTCATTTTTTACAGATAAATAAATTGGTTTTAAAATTTACTTTAATAGTATACTAAATTTAAATATAAACAAAGAATCTGCTTTAAATACCAAATATATTTATATTGCAAAATTAATTTACAACAAAAAAAATATAATTAAATTATCAAATAGAGATAATAATTGAAGAATTCCACCTACTTTTAAGATAGATCACTCCCAAATCTAAGATAAGATTTATATATAAAATTTGTTAAAAATCCTACTATAAAAGGAAATTTTATGTTACATTATTATAATTTTTTTTCTTTTTAACTAATTAATAATCAATAGAATTTAAGTAAATTCTAAAATAAAGTTTTATATAAAAATTGAAGTTTTATGGTATTATTTATTAGTAGTAGATGAGATCTTATAATTAATGGACTGCTATTATCAAGAATACATTATACATATATATAAATTTATAATTTTAACTGGATAGAAGATTGAATTTTCTTTATTCAAGAAAAAGTTTCAATATATAACTATTCAGTAAATTTGAAAAAAAAACTTACAATTTTTCTTTGTTCACATTGCAATAATTCTTTACAAAGATTAATTTCAATTAAAACAAAAAAATTAATAAACTTCAACTACATTTGAAACTATGCAAATATCCTATAATATGTAATTGGAATCAGATATGATCTTACTATTACAGAAAAAAAAACACATTACAAAATTCATTAGAAATAACTTTAGAATTTGATAAAAATAGTAAAGATACATTTATAGGTAATAACTTGAAATATGAGTTTCATTATAGAATCTTTATAAAATTAAATGGAAGACTTTAACTAGCTAAATGATACAAAGTTATAGTATTTGAAATAGATGAATTTTTTATAGAAATTTATACCAATATAATTGCATTAATACAAAATAAGCAAGCTGTTTTTTAAAATAATCATTATATTAGAGATGTTATTTATTATTTTAAATTTTCACTATAAACAAACTGGAAATATATAATTTATTTATAAAAGCCATTAAATTTCATTAAAATGATTAAAATTAAGCTGACAGAATTTATTTTTAACTTTATTTATAATTTTTGATAGTGATACAGCAATAATATTTATCAGGGAACCTGGAAAAATCTTTACTATTATGAAGTTTATTCAATAATAAGTTTAAAAAAAGAGGGAAATCTGGAAAATTTTGTGAATTTCCTGTGATATTATAATCAATATCTAACTACACAATTTTACAAATAACTATAAATATATATATATATTTTTTTTTTTTTTTTTTTATATTTTAGGAGACATCAGCATAGCCCTGTCTCTTATACACATCTAGATGTGTATAAGAGACAGGCTATATGGAGGGAGCATTAACTATAAATATATATATATAAATACATATTGTATATATATTTAAATTTCCTTTAAAATTTTTAAAATAAAAGAAAAAGAATATTGAACTAAAAATTAATTTGGATTAATTTAACAAATTCTTTATATTTTATTAATCTTTAATATAATTAGTTAATTACAACTAATTACCAATAAAGTAAAAGTACAAAACTTTTAAATTTTATAATTATTTTCAATTTCAACTAGTAATTTAATTATTACAATTTTTGAAGTCAGCTATTTATAATTTAAAAAAATCCAAAATCAGTTTTAGTATTTATTTCTCTTTATTCTGGTTAAAAAACCAACAAATTAAAGCTTTAATATTATATCAGTTAATATTAATTGTTTTACATCATAAATTTAAAATAAAAGTAGTACAATAATAATTATATATGATATTTATTTATTTTTACTGTAATAATATAAATCAAAAGTATAATAATACATATAAAATCAAATTATATTACTTTCCCGTCAATTTACATAACAAATTTGGACTTCTTAAAAATCAGTTATATTTTGTATTTCTATAGTCACTATTATATTATTACTTAAATTGTCAAATTACAATTAAGAACGGTTACTGGTGATTCCAGATTACCAATCACAATTATTGATGCACTCCTGAAAAAATAATTTATTGCGTCATAATCACCTCTTCAAACAATAAGCCATAACTAAGTCCGTTTTAATAATTTAGTCTAAATTAACTTCATTAATCAAGATTTTATTCTAGTTTTTTTTCCTTATATACAATATTAAAGAAAATTGTTCATTATTTTGTGGTTTGTGCATGACGTATCTAATATAAACAACAAAAGTTATTATAAAGAACTTGTAACATGATAACGTATTAATATTAACTTAGAAGAAAGCTTTATTTATAATTTAGTTAGTGTAGCAAATATCAAATACAACAAACATTCTAAAGTCCTTTTCAGAAATTCTAAATGACATAATGTTTTTTTAACTTACCTAGAAAACTTTTTGATGCATAAATTTCATAATGATATGCTTCATAGTATGCTTATAATATAACTTTACTAGGCAAATCAAAACTATAAATTAATCCCCTTTAAATTTCTCCTCCCCCCCTTTTCTCTTTTATATAATCATTCTCCATAAAAAAAAAAAAAAAAAATTTTTTTCCGAACGTAACGAATGTTAATATTATCCTTCCTATAAACTCATTATCATTATTGTGAACCTTATTTAAGAAATAATTTTTCGAGTTTAAAACTTACGTTCTTTTTATTTGATGGTTTTGAAAGATAAAACATGAATTATATTTTATTTAATAAAATATAAATTTTTTAGAAAATATTACATTTGCATTTCATCGTATTTCTCTCATCATTCCTTATCATTTCTCATCATTCATTATAAATTCGCTTCTTAAATTTAAAAGTAAATAATAATAGTAATAGTAATAATAATAAATAATAATAAAGATAAATAAAATATATATATTAATGAGATTATTATTCTACGAAAAGTATTTCACCGATTTAAAAAAATAATGATATCACGACAAAAGAAACAAACGAATTATGAAGAAGACAATTGGGATGATATAGAAATTCCTGAAACTGGATTACTTTTAATAAATAACGAAAGTGATTATGGATTATCAACAACGACAAGAGATATTTCGGAAATAACAATATGCGATTCTTCGGATGATGATTCGGAAGATTATCCTAATGAAATAACTAATAATTATAGTAATAGAAGTACACCAGTATCGTCATCTTCAATTAACAAGGTAAAAGAAATGATGATTAATAGTGGAGTAGTAATCACAAATAATAAAGAGGAGTTTAGTGGGTTGATTACAAGAATTGGAGGAGAGAATAATAAAGTTATTGCGGTTGGAGATGATTGGGATAACGACATAGAAATACCCGAAGATGGGCTTGCAAATTTAACGCTTAGTACTAATAAAAAGGATAATAGCTTTAATATTACCGTTACTAATGATTTTGAATTTGATGAAGAACAACAACAAACAACTAGCAAGAATTCAATTACTTCTCCAAGGAAATTAATTATAAAACAAATCGAAGATCCTTCAAAAGTATTCCCAAAATCTAATACTGTGCAAAGTAAAAAAACATTAGAAAATATCGACGATTATTTTGATTTTACAGGAGTAGAATTAAGTAAATTAGATTTGTCTACAAAAGTATTAAATTTACGTCGACAGGGATCGTATGAGGAAGAAGGAAATTTAAATTATAAAGATCCATTTGGATCAGAAAAAATTTCTTCAAGAAATTCATCCCGTCTTTCTATATTACCAAGTCCAGCACCGACAAATGGTTCACAAAGTGCTTTTGAAAGTGGGGAAGAAGAAGATGAATCATTTGATGATATACAATTTCCTGAACGTATGGAATCTTTAACTTTAATTAGTCGTAATGATGATAATGATTTTGAGAATGGATTGGATATAGCTGATGAAAGTGTTTTTGATCCTGATCAATTAAAGAACAAAAATATTATTACACGTCCTAATCAAAAACAACAAAAACGTGCAAGACGTGAATCATTTAGCATTGAATTTAATACTTCTACAAAGAATAGTAGATCTTCTACTCCTTCGATTCCTCTTATCAACAATAAAGTTCAACCAAAAACTACAAATAATAATTCTCCTCAAATATCTTCTCTGGATAGATTGAAAACTAATAAAGCTTTTTCTAGAAGTCTTACTTCATTAAGAACGTCAACACCTAAAAATACAACAAATACTACTTTACCAAAAAGTCGCCCAAAAAGTTTACAAAACCCAAAGGATCCTAAACTTCCTGTAAGTGGATTGGTTAAAAAACCAATTTCTTTGATGAAAAATACTCTTGAGAGATCAAAAAGTTCTTCACACATAATACATTCTACTAACAACTCTAATAAATCATCAAAAAAAATTAACTGCAATTCTACCTCGTCATTCAATAAACGTATTGAAAGTACTTCAAAAGGATTATTACCTTCCAAAAGTACAAAAAGATATCAACAAAATATTAACCCTCATAATACTCATAACAATACTCTTCAAACCACTTCTAATACCAATTCAACTACTACTTCAATACCGGAGATTATGCGTAAACCCACAAGACAGCAAAGTTTTGGGGATGGAACCGAATTGGACGGGTTTGATGATTTACCAGTAAATATTGACAGAGAACGTCCATATACTTCGAGTAATTATGCTATAAACGATAGAAAGAATAGTATTTCTTCTGTTGGTTCGAAAACCGATAATAGTGATAATTTTCAACATCCCCGAAAACATAAGAAAAATCGTAAAAGAAAGAAACCACAATTGATTAAGAATCTTAGTGCTGATGTGAATCTTAAATTTGTGGGCGAAATGGTTTATAATCCAATAACACAACGTTGGGATGGAAATGATTCTGTATTAAAAGACTTTGATAATGTTTTGTCCACTCCTCTACGTCCTGCTCTTATCTCAAACATGAATAATTTTACTACAAATACAAAATCTTTTCAAGTAGTTGGTAAAATGAGATTTGATCCAAAAAAAATGTGTTGGAATAATGATTCTTCTGACGAAGAGGAAGTAATTTGGGATTGTGATGATGATGATCGGGATGATTTTATTTCTACCCCTCAAGCATTTATTGATACTAGTGATAATAAATTAAGAACAAAAAATGATGCTAATTCTATTGGTAACGATAATAATGATTTTCAAGTTGGTTCTGAATTTGACATTACTTCTGGATTTTTAGCAGCTTTATTAGCTTCAGAAAGACAGCATCGTAATGAAATTACTAGATGGTATCCCGGTGCTTTAAGCAAAAAAAATGAATCTAGATTTGGTTTAAGAGATATCACATTGCAAAGAAGTTATCTTTATGATTTAAGAAACAATAATAACAGAGGAAATACTAATTATTCTTCATCTGGTAACAATACTAAAATCAATAATAATAGATCAGGCGGGCTTTTCGAAGCTGCTGCGAATTTGACAAGACATGAACGAAGACATTTTCGTTAATTGTTAAAAAAAAATAATAAATTTTTCAAACATACACTTTTATTCATTTTGTATATACTTTAATTATTATAATTTTTCACTTTTCTCTTTTTTTTTCCTCATTTGTAAATATTATCAATCTCATCATAACTTAAATAAATATTAAACTAATAAAACTTTGTTATTGATATACGTGAGCTGTGGTGTAGTAAACTTTTTATATTTGATCAATTTGATTGAGAATTACTGATCCTCCCAAGTCCCATCAACTTGGTTAAGTACTTAAAAATCTTGAACCAGATTTGGTTTAGTTTAATTTGTTCAAATTTTATTATAAAAGAAAACTTCATATATTATGATAATACCAGCTCAAATTGAATTGAATGTAATTTTTTTTTTAAAAAAATTTTTATTAATATATGACTTTTATAAAATAGTAAATGCATTTTTATTATTGCAATTCACTTTTTTTTATATTTTTTTATTTGTAATATTTCAAAAATTGCATTTTATTAGTATTTTATATAAGAAATTCTAGTTTTTTATTAGCCAAATTTCATATAAATTAGCTCAGAAAATTGAAATAAATATAGATCAAAAAGTGAAAAATCAGATATCAATCAGTCACCAATTGGTATTTTTGCAAATATCATCATCAATCAAGCAGTTTACTAACTTTAACCCAGTAATCAGAAAGAATGAAATATAACTTATTGGAATTGTCTCAACAAAACAAATCTAATGGTAGTAAAATTGCATTTTAAGAATTACTAGTTGATAAGAAATTAAATAAAATATAAATAATATATTTTTATTTTTATATTTTACTAAGAAACTTTTTATTAATAAAACTTTAAAAGTTCATGCTTAAATGCACAGGTTGAAAAGTGAAAAATCAGGCATCAATCAGTTACCAATTAGTCACCAATCAGGTAGCTGATTGGTGACCAATTGGTGACTGATTGGCATTTTCGCCAAATACTATTACCAATCAGGCAGTTTGCTAACTTTTGACCTAGTGATCAGAAAAGGATGAAATATAGCTCATTGGAATCATCTTAACAAGACAAATCTAATGGTAGTAAAATTACATTTCTAGAATTAATAGTTAATAAAAAATTAAATAAAATATAAATGATATATTTTTATTTTTATATTTTACTTAATTTTTCATCAAATATTAATTCTAGAAATGCAAATTTACTACCATTAGATTTGTCTTGTTGAATTATAATTTTTTTTTTTCAGAAGAAATAGGTTTACATCATGTACAGAGTAAAAACTTTCAAAGTTATAAGAGTTTATAACTACAGGGTGACATAGATAACAAATTATAATTACGTAATATATATTTTACACACTAGTGTATATTAAGAAATTATCTTAATTTAAATATTTTTAATTTATATACCTTAGTTTTTATAAAGTTTTAATTTACATATTTTTACAAAATTTTAATTTATATATTTTAAAGAATTTAATTTAATTTTTACAAGATTTTAGTTTAAATATTTTTATAGGATTTTAATTTACATATTTTTACAAAATTCTAATTTATATGGTGCAAGTAAACTAACTATACTCAACAATAAAATTGTAGTACTAAAAAATCTTATAAAATTTTAAAAAATAAATTTTAAAGAAAATAAACTGGTAGTTTTATTCTTCAAGACAAGTACTATCAAATTACCAGTCAGATTTTGAAAAAAGATCTGTATAAAAAGTTATAGGCATTTAAAACTAACTGATTTTTATATGATCAGCCTAAATTTGAAACAAATCGAATCACATGTGCCTATCTTATTGGTCAAAAATTTTTATAATTCAGGCCAAAATTATAATATTTCAATGCTGACCTGAATTATCACATTTATTTAATCATGAGAAAATTCCTTTAACAATAAGAAAACCTTCTGATTCATGAGAAAATCATTACATGTGAATAAGAAAATTTTAATCTAGCTTTACTGATGCCATATAAAACAAAATAACAACAACAAGTTAATAAGACACCTGGAAAAAAAGGTCATTATATATTACAATACCATGTAATTCAAATATGAAGAATTTCAATGAATAAAATTTTTGTTTTAACATAAAATATTATATACGAAACAGTGTAACATATAAAAATTCTCATTTTTTATTATTAAACTTACGCCAGAAAATTGAAACATCATTACGTGATTGTTGAGTATAGTTTACTTGCACCATATATTTTAAAGAATTTAATTTACATATCTTTAATTTTTATAAGATTTTAATTTACATATTTTTACAAAATTCTAATTTATATATTTTAAAGAATTTAATTTACATATCTTTAGTTTTTACAAGATTTTAATTTATATAAAATTTAAAGATTTTAGTTTAAATATTTTTATAGAATTTTAATTTACATATTTTAAAGAATATATCTTTTTACATATTTTAAAGTATTTAATTTACATATTTTTAATTTTTATAAGATTTTAATTTACATATTTTTACAAAATTCTAATTTATATATTAGTCAATGTTAATGTTGCTGGAGAAACTAGGGGTTTTGGCAAGTTGGCAAAATGCTGAAATGGTGAAACTTTGCCAAAACTATATGAAAGTCTTATTAAAAAGTTGGCGAAACTCTGGAGAAAAGTGAAACCTGATGAAATTTATTATAAATGCTAAAACTGCCGAAATCTTGCCAAAACTATAGTAAAATTTTGGAGAAACCACTGGTCAAAATTAATGCTATCGGGTACATATCGGGTACCTATATATCAGTGACTAATCAGATACATATCGGACATTTATTACATATCGGGTACCCGATATGTAACATATCAAATATGCCTAAAAATCGGATTTCCGATATCTAAACGATTAGTCACTGATATGTAATACTGAATTAATCTTACACATATCGGGTACCGATATGCAAAATATTTATTTATTGTATTTGTATTATATAATTCAAAGAGGTATATTAAAATTATTACTAAAAAAAGTATTTTAATATTAAAGATAATCGTTTATTCATATAAAACCCTTATTTTCAATTTTTTTTTATTTTTTCTGATATCACGAATAACTGACAAAAATATTAAAAATATACATATTTTATTTTAAAATTAATTGTATTGAATGTTCAAATTAATCTTACATACAACTTTATTTTAATCAATTCTTATAAATGCCAATTGATAAGAATAACCTAATAAAAGTATTTAATCATAATATTTAATTATTTTTATGTTTTTTTACCCCCCTTTTTTTGCTTTTTTTGTTTTTTTTATTTTTTCTTTTTTTATTTTCATATTCATCGTTATGATATTCGTCACTTTCTTTATCTTGATCAGTATTATAATCATATGTTGGAATTTCATTTGTTGAACGATTAAATCTTTTAAGAGCCTTATCGGTCAGACACCAATTTGGTGTATCCATTGGAGGCATACTTGTTGTTGTTTTACATCTTTGAACTCTTTTAATTTTTAGAATTTGAGGTTTTTTCCTCAGTTTTTCAACTGTCGGATCAATCCGATCATGTAATAAACGCTGAAGCTTTAATAAATAATTACTATTAATAAATAAAATAAAAAAAATAATTATAAATATATAGTACATACTGCAAAAGAACGCCACCATGTTTTATATATATGAATTGACATTGTCTTTTCTTTAACAGCAGATTCTTCACCAATTATATCATTTTCTTCATCAGAATCGGTTTCCTCCCACTCCTCTGAATGATAACCAGATTCCTTAAGAATTCGTACAAGCTCCTTCTCTGGGTATCTAC